TTCAAACGTGTTTATGATGTCTAAATATATACATATAGTGTACCAATGTTTTGAAATTATATTTTTTTTTTTTCTGTAATCATATAAATAAACAAGTAAATCAATGTATAAATATATTTTAATTATATTTATGTATTTTTCTGTACAATTACAGCTATTTAAATAAATAGAAAAAAAAAAAAAAAAAAAAAAAAAAACATCTTAAATTTATATGGGCTTTATTTATGAACAATGTAGGTGTTTTGTAGACACATAGATTACTTTTTTCCCTTTATATAATACATTAATACTATTAAATAAAAAATGTATTATTTATGTGAACATATATATATATATATATATATATATATATTTTTAATAATGTAGAATTATTATATTTTAAAATGTGGTTACATTTTAATCTAATCTTATAAAATAGTTACTACTTTTTTTTAAAGCTATTTAAATAATTTTCCATATGGTTAGTTTGCAGTTGCTAACTATTTATAAATATTGAAAAAAAAAAAAAAAAAGAAATATGTATATATATATATATATATATATATATATATATTTTTTTTTTTTTGACTCTTGTGGCAAAGGCTAGCTGGCTTGTCTAAATTTTTTTTTTTTTTTTTTTTTTTTTTTTTTTGGAATAAATCTTTTTTATTTTATAATAAAAATAAAATATATTAAATTGAAAATTATAATTAAATATATATTTTATATTCTTATTCATATTATTATTTATTATTTTTTTTTTTAAATATTATGAATGTTACTTTGAAATGTGAATTTTTTTTTATTTTTTTTCTATATGTGTTAATTTATAAAACGTTGTATTTTTAAATATATCTTTTTTAATTATAAATTTGTATAGTAGTTAATATAAAGTGTTTGTTTACTCTTCGTATTTTTATATATATATATATATATATATATTTATCCTGTTTTATCTTTATTATTCGAGTTTATATCCGTTATATTATATTTATATAATATATATATATATATATTTTATTATTATTATTTTTTTTGTTGTTGTAATAGAGAAAAATGAAAAGCTTAAGGGTAGTATTTTGTTTGGGTATGATATCAGCTTGTATGCTTGTTGGTACATATTGTAAAATGAACGTAGTGTCTCATAACTCTATGAAAAAGGTTGGGGAAGAAGGTAAGGATGAAAAGATTATATCTTGTGTTGTGGAATATGTAATTAAGGGTGACTTAGGTATTGATGATGGGGATTTTTGTGATAGTAATTCGATTTGTTCAAATAATCCTGGTTTATGTGATAATGGGCAAGTAGTTGTACCAGGAGATTATTGTAGTAATTATTATGATATAACATTAGTTGTTGAAGAATCAAGTTTTGTTCAGAAGGATTATTGGTTAAAAGGAACTATACCATTTTTAGAATCTATGGTCATTAATTCGAATGTAAGTAAGGATAAGGCTCATATGTCAGTTATCCTTTTTGCAGGTAAGCAAAGAGTATTCGTTCCATTTACTGATGAAAGTAGCCATGACAAAAATATGTTACTTGAGAAAATTAATTCAATTGATGAGGGTATAGCTGCAAGTTCTGATACTTTATATGTTAATGCTTTAAAGTATGCTATAGAAAATGTGATATTTGGAGATGGCACTCGAAAGGATGCTCCTAAAGTTGCTGTATTATTTTATTATGGATTTGATTATGGTGCCAATAAAAATATGATACCCGATGTTGTACAAGCATATAAAGAACAAAACGTTAAACTAATAATTGTTGGTATAGCTTTAGGAATTAGAGATAATGCATATTTACTTGCTGGCTGTTCTATTGGTGATGAAAATTGTGTAAATGTGGTATTTAAACCCTGGGATTTTGTTATACCTGCCGCAGCAGATGTAAATCAAAAAATATGTGATAAGAATGAATCATAAGATGTATAAAAAAAAAAAAAAAAAATTAAACATTATTAGGTGCCATACGTTTTTTAAGATACATATTGTTTTTGACATTTTAAAAAATTACAAATTTATTAATTTCATATATTGCTTTTATATTTTTTTATTATATTTTTTATTTTATTTTTTTGTGTTTTTTGAATAAATCAATATATATGAACAAGGCTGAACATATATATAAACATTTTGAAGGTGTTAAAATGTAAATTGTAAATATATTAATATTTTGTCATATTATTAAATATGAAAATAGTATTCTTATGATAAAATTATGTTACATGAAAAAGGTCACTCTTAACGAAATATAAATATAAATATAAATATCAAATTAATTGTTAATACAAATGTTAATGTGATGATTATATGGAGTGTTATTATATTTTTTTCTTTATTCTTTTTCATTTAGTGTTAAAAATGTATTGTATATTAAAATGTCAGATAAGGAAATAATTTTTTAACAAAATTATATATAAATGTACAGACATAGAAAGAGATAAACATAAGAAAAAAAATAGTACACACATACACACATAAAAAAAAAAAAAGAAAGAAATAAGTAAATAAGTATATAATCATATAAACAATCATTTAGACATATTAATATATGATATTGTTATTTTATTTATTATTTTATTATTATTATTATTATTATTTTTTTTATATTAATATGTGGATCATAGAAAAGGTTTAATATATATATATATATATTTTTCATGTAATAAATCATATATAAGGAGGAGAATATAAAGTTATGAAAAACATTTAAACAAAACCTTTAAAAATGAAGATAATATAATTCAAGAAATAATATATTAAAAAAAATAAGGTGTTTTATGTACTGGTATTTATAGCATACATAGATACATAAATAAATAAATAAATAAATAAATAAATAAATAAATAAATAAATAAATATATATATATATATATATATAGTTATGAAATGATTACAAAGAATGTTATATATATATAAATAAACTTTTTCCTTTTTCTTTTTTCTTTTTTTGTTGTATAATAAATATCATTTTATTGTAAATTATAATTACTGTATTGTTAAATATAACATGAGAAATATTCATATTTAATCTTTTATTTATAGGAAGAATATTTTGTTACATAAACAAGTTACATTGTTTTATATATGTTTTTGTATTATGTAGTTATATATTTCTTCTATATATGGAAAATTTTATGTAGATTTTTATTTGTTCAAGGGGATGAAATATAAGAATTTATATGTTCATATATTTATATGATAATATATTTATATGATAATATATTTATAAAATTTGAAATCGATTAATGGTATTTTTTAAAAAAGAGGAGAAATATTTAAGAGATACATATAATGTGTAATATATTAAAATAAATATGTCAAGTTGAAGAATACAAATAAAAAAAAAAAATAAATTAAACATTAAAAATTAAAAAATTTATATATTGGATGAACAATTTAAATATAAATAAATAATATTTATATGTATTTTACAAGAATATGGTGTTTAATTTTATATATGAAAAGAGAAATGAATTAATATATTATTTGTTAATGTTATATATTCTGTGTATAATAAATTATATTCCCACTTTTTTAACATTTTTATGTTTATTATTATATATAAAATTGTAAATATAAATATAAATAAATATATAAATATATATATATTATAAATATATATAAATATAAATGTATAAATATATATAAATATAAATATATATATATATATTAAATATAACGGAAGGCATGCTTAATTTGTGCTCGTACATACACCTCATAATATATTTAAGTTTGATTAATGCCTATGTGTTTAATTTAATGAAAACTTCAGGTTTATATAGTTTTCTAAAAAAGAAAATTCACGTTTTTAAATAAATAAACTCATTTGGAGCAAAGTCATGTCTACGAAGGAAGGGATTGGGTTTATTAAAAATGTTAAAAGGAGAAAATTAAAAAAAAGCCAAGAATAAACATATTGACATATATATATTATAAAGTAAATATTAAAAAAATATATATTATGTACATTTTTTTTTTTAATTTAATTTCTTTTGATTTTATTAAAATGTTAAATAATATATATATATATATATATATATATATATATTATTAAATATAAGGGAAGGCATGCTTAATTTGTGAGCGTACATACACCTCATAATATATTTAAGTTTGATTAATACCTTTGTGTTTAATTTAATGAAAACTTCAGGTTTATATAATTTTCTAAAAAAGAAAATTCACGTTTTTAAATAAATAAACTCATTTGGAGAAAAGTCATGTCTTCGAAGGAAGGGATTGGGTTTATAAAAAATGTTAAAAGAAGAAAATTAAAAAAAAGCCAAGAATAAACATATTGACATATATATATATTATGAAGTAAATATTAAAAATATATGTATATATAATATATTTTATTTTTATGTATATAGAATAATGTGTTTATTAAAAATAAATTTAATTTATTTTATGTGTGCCTTTTGTAATCCCTTCCTTCGTTTTATGATATATGTCTAATATATATGTATATAGGTATATATATATATTATGATATGTTCATATTATATACACACATTAAGATATGTATTAATATATATATATATTATAGAGGAAAGAGCGGATAATATAATATATAAATTATATATATAGAATCCTTTTTAGAAAGCAACTGTGTTTTTATTATAAAAAATAAATAATATATAAATATATAGAAATATATATATATATTATATTTTAAGTAAAGGAACGTTTGATATTATATTATCGAAAGTATTATTATAATTTTATATATAATAAGTAGATAGTATAGTAGTAGAAATGTTAATATATTATATAAAGGATGATTATAATTATATTTTCTACATTTAAAAATCTAGTAATTTTTCAATTTTTTACATACTAATTTTATTAATAAACAAGAAACAAATACATTATAATAATATACACATTAATAAATTATTATTATTATATATATATATATATATATATACATTCTGGTATGTGTGTGTATATATATATATATATATATATAATAAAAATTTATTAATGTGCATATTATTATAATGTATTTGTTTTTTTATAAGACTTATTTGATGTAATGTCATTTTATTAACATACATAACCTTAACGATGGATGTCTTGGTTCCTACAGCGATGAAGGCCGCAATTAAATGCGATATTCTGTATGTATTATATACAACATTTGAATAAATGCTGAATGTAGAATTAAAATACTGTATAATTTTTTTTACGAAAGAAATGCTTATAACAGTACTCCTAAATTATCACATTAAAAAATTATATATATATATATATATATATATAATGGACTGGTATTTTCGTTTTACTTATCTATGTGATGACATTCTACTCTCTGTAAGTATATATTTTTATAATTGTACTATGGAGGGAGAAAAGCAACGTGTTAATTAATTTTACCTTAGGCCTCATAATCTCACGATTATGACGTTACATAGTACTAGACATTTTTTACGTTCCCAATATTTGTTGAGTTCGTATTAATGTTTAAGAGGTAGCATAATAAATGGTTAGATGTTTTAGACTTATAAGAGTCGAAATAAAAATCCCTGTTTATGGAAAACGAAGCAGGGTTTATGCTTGCACATATGTACGTTTGGTATATATGTGTCTCGGTACTCTCTAAGGGTTTTATATATTTTTTTTTGATATAAAATGATTTCACGCTTTTGGGCTATGCATATAAACGTATTAATTATATATTTTTATATATTTTAATATTTGTTTTTATGTATAGTTAAAAGAGTAGCTGTAACGGGGAATAATATGCTTTGACATACCTCTTGCATGTGAAAAACTTTTCGCTAGATTGTGTACAGTATAGATCCGAATAATTTGTTCGTAGTCTCCTTTTCTTTTAAAGAACTGGAATATGTGCTACTAAAAGAACTTAGGAAGATATCTTTTTTTTTATATTTGTACAAATGTAACCATGTTTGATGTTAACACTTTGTCTTATAAAAATTAGGAATTTGGTTTAAATGAGAGACTTCATTGAAACTCCCTGCACATATGTATTTATGTGTATATGCGTATATGTGTATATATATATATATATCGCATATACGTACATACAGGTTGTTACTATATGATATATTATAGTTTATGCTTTTCATTTTCCCTGTTTATGTTTTACAACTTGGGGAATTGGTTTGAAGTCTTCTTTTTTTATTCCATGGAATAGAGGAACGAATGTAGTCACAACTGAAGAAAAAAAAAACTTGCACACATATTTACTATATATATATATGTATATATGTATGTATATATGTATGTATATATGTGTCAAGTGTTGTGCGTGAATCTATTGAGAGGGACGAAGTTATATAATATCAATGTTCTTTTTGTGATTAATTTAGGAGGGCAAATCCGCTGAAATTTTAAAATTGCTAAAATATAATTAAGCGGAAGAAAAGAAAATAACAATGATTCCTTTAGTAACAGCGTGTAAAAAAGGATAAGCTCAATTTAGAGAATCCTTCGATTTTTTTTTAAAAGAATTGTTGGAATTGTTTCTTTTTTTATTATAATATACTCTATATGATAACTGTTCTTTGGATTATATATTACGTAATGTGTATATACATCTATTTTACGGGTACACAAGAGCAAGGATATTAAAAATATATATAGGAAATATAATGGAAAATTATCCCAAAGAGGGTGAAAGGCCCGTACTAGTTTTAATATCTACCTTGTGCTTAAATTAGAGTTAAAAATAAAGAATGAGTTGTGTTTTATGAATTGGGGACACTAATACGTGTGATAGATTTCACATAAAGCTAAATATGTGTAGGAGACCGATAGCAAATAAGTACCGTAAGGGAAAGATGAAATAGTACTCAGGAATGAGCAGTTAAATAGTACCTGAAATCGTTAAGGTGGAAAGGATTAAGAGCGTGAAAACGTAAGGAAATTATTAAAAGTATGTACATGTGCGCATATATGTATATGTATGTATAAGAGAAAACCTCCATTTTCTCTTTGGTAATTTCCTTATTATAATAAACAAAAGTGAATAAGAGAAATTTTGAAGATTGAAGTAATTTTTTTTTAAAAAAATTAAAGAATTAATTATATATATATATATATATAATAATAAATTTTTATTTATTTTTATTTATTTTTATTTATTTTTATATAATTTATTATTTTTTTTTTTAAAAAAAATAAGAATTAATGAATGGAAAACACTTTTTTCTGATTAAAAACATTTCTATTTACTTAGGAGTAAAAAATATATATGTAAAAATAGAATGTATTTATATTTTTTGTTTTTATATATGTATAAGTTGTTTATAAAAAATCCTCTCTTAAACCGACCGTCTTGAAACACGGACCAAGGAGTCTATCAAATATGCAAGCGTATATGTTTAGAGGAAACATGTGAATTTTATGTGTACGCGAATGGATGTTCAAAATGGGTGATATATGTAATAAGTGTGCACACGCATATATATATATATATATATGTATGTATATATGTATATATGTATATATGTATGTGTGGGCTTTTTATATATTTTCACTTTCATTTGATTTGTAGATTTTGTTATGAGATGAAAAAAATAAAAATGGAAAAAGAAATGAAAATAGAAAAATTAATTTTTTTTTGTTTTTGTTTTTTTTTTTCTTTTACTTTTTGTATAATTTTTATTTTTTTTATTTTTCATTTCAATGCATACAAATTACTTTATTAAAAACAGAAAAATTAAAATAAAAATTTAACATGTTAAGAAATATTTATTTTTTTTTTTGTTTCTTTTCTAATTTTTTTTTTTTTTTTTTTCTATTATGTTTTTAACTGAGTAAAGAGTATATTTGATAGGACCCGAAGGGCTTTGTACTATACATGTAATAAAATTATTAGAGATATGTAAGTGTCGTTTATATGGATAAAAAAAGTGTTATTCTTAAATAAATATTGATCATTAATTATTAGTGAATAAGAATATTTAAGAATCCTTTTTTTTTTCTAATATTACATTGTAGGAAATATAAAAAATGAAAAGCCTTATATTAGCTGGTTATTTTCGAAAGATCTCTCGAGACCCCTGGAGTTGATTTTGATATATTTTTATCGTACAAGATAAATTAAAATATATATATATATGTATATATATATATATATATATATATATATATATATATATATATATATATATATATATATATATATATGTATATATACACAATGTTGATATAAAAGATCTAATTGTGAATTTGTAAATTTATATTTTAATTTTTCTTGATACTTTGGTAAAAAGTGTAAATAAAATAAATATATATAAGTTGTATATATATTATTTTATTTATATAAAAATAAGATAACTCCAAGTGTACCATTTTTTATTAAAAAAGAAATTGGTAATGAGGGATGCTCCTAATGCTTGGATAAGGTGCCTAAATATTCGCTCATGAGATTCTGTTTTAAAAGAAAAGGTGTTGGTTCATGATAACAGTAGGACGATATTCATGGAAGTTGAAATTCGCTAAGGAGTGTGTAATAACTCACCTGCCGAGTGAACTTGCCCTTATAATGGATGGCGCTAAAGTGAATTACCGAAACCAAGCCATAAAAAGATAAAGAAAAAAAAAAAAAAAAATTAGAAAATTATAATCAACTGGGAGGATAGGTAAAGAAAAGAGGAAACAAAAAAAAAATTTTTTTTTTCTTTTTTCTTTTTTCTTTTCTTTTTCTCTTTTTGTTTGTTTGTTTTTTTCTTTTTGTTTTTTTTTAATTTTCTTGTTTTTAAACTTTTTATGTGTAGAAAATCGTGGGGTTTTTTGTATCGAAGCGAAATACGTGAGTTTTCGTGGAACATCTCCCTAGTGCAGATCTTGGTGGAAGTAGCAAATATTTCAAATATAACAATTTGAAGACTAAAGTGGAGATGGGTTTCTTGTATATAGATTTATTAATTTAAATTTACAAGAGTTAGTCGCTTGCTTATGAGTTTGCTACTTTTTTTTTTTTTTGTTTTTTACGATGTTTCTTCATTTTTTGAAGAGATAAAAAAAAGTTTAGCATAGGTGACAAGGGGGAATGTGTTATGATCGAACTTGTATCAACCCTGTACTCTATTATACTATGAGAGGGCATACATTTAATCTCTAACACCCGTAAATTTTCCTCTACTCAAATAAAAGTAAACAGGTTAATATTCCTGTACGTTCATAAAAATTTAAGTCATAAATGGTAACAATTAATCACTGAACTCCAATATATAGTAGCCACCTTCGGAGTGCGTATTTTAAATTATATTCCTTTATAATTATTGCACATGAAAATATATAGCTAGGCCTATGTCTTAAATGCAAGAGTCGTATACTTAGAATGGCTTAGCACAGCGGTCGGCATATTAAATTGGCAACTATAGAAGAATGAATTTATACATATATAATTTATGAGATCATAGATTTTATTTTTATAATAATTTCTTGTTTTGTATTTTATATATGTAATTTATTCTTTTTTTTTGTATCAATAGTAATTCTATTAAAAATTAGGGAATTACCCGAATGCTGTGGTTACTATCACGGAAATTAGGAGGGATATTGCTTATAAGTTTTAAAGATATAATTTATTTTTATATTCTTTGATTCCTTATTTGAACAAGCTTAGTTTTTATAACAGCGTACCTATAATAGCCGCTTGAGGTCTCCTGGGTTAACAGCCTCTAGTTTATATAGATTATATAATAGCAAAGGAAGTCGTCCAATATACACCCAAATACTATATGTATATATA